TTGCACCTGTACGTCACGTCACTCTTACATGTTACCAATCTGAGTGCGTTCCGAATGTTTTCTTATTTACATCCATCACATACAGTAGCTTCGTTACGTCCTTTAATTTCTCTTTGCTAATGTTGGCCAAGTTCCCGACTCCTATTTCATTTGGATTGATGTTAATGGTCAATCTTCCTTTTTTTTTAAATACTTCTAGACAAACCGATGGTTGACTTGTAGCTTTTGTCCCTTTCAACCAATATGACGTTATTTTGTTTTCTTGATCTTGCCAAACAAATCCTTTTTATTTTCGATATCTGAAAGTGCCTACTTTCAGATATTATTTTAAAATAGTCCTCAGGTGTCGGAATAACCTTTTTCTCGATCGTCCCAAAGACTCTGTCAGACGACAAGAATGAATGCTCTTGAACGAGATACACTATTTCAATATATTTTATTTTTTTTGGTGCTTGTATCAGCCAGCGACTTGACATGGATAAAATTACTTGGTTCTTATTGTGGCCTCCACATCTTTCACACATTAATCTTACGACACATATCTTTTAAATCAGTATTAGACATCCTGTGATACATTGCCGAAGCCACTTGATTAGAGCCCTTGCTATACTAATCCTCTGACCATACATAGCTAAAACAATTTTTCCTTCTTTAATGGGGCTTTAGAATGTCCCACTACGATAGCCGTCTGCTGTAGTACGCTGCTTGATCCGAGACTTTAGGCAGCGGAGGGTCTTTTTGCAAGTCAAAGGATATAGTCAATAATGCAGGCTTATATTCCTTCAATAATGCAAAAAAGGCTTTCGACCTAAGCTTGTGAATTCTTTTAGTGGCTATGAGGGATTGCTTCACCGATGGTGTTTTTCATTTGAGATTTTTTCAGTGAGTGAAAGGCATGTCGAACACATGTCCGTCTGTGGCGTCTTAAATATAATGTTTAATTTACTATTAAAAAATAATTCGAAAATATTCTTTTTTTACCTGTGTCTCTGGTTTGGATTGAGCATTGTAAATTTTCCAAAGTTTAATAATACTCAGATCACCTGATGCATACTTGCGCTCACTTCGACCCCTACAGTAATGAGACTTCACGCATTTTATACTTTTAATAAATTCGAACTCACTCCTAAATTTCTCTTTATATAAATGCATTCACTTGTCTCCTCCCCTTTTCTCACATGGAAGATTACTTTCCCCTCAAAAATTGTTCATTATAGTTCGGAGTCGGCCACTTGTGATCCTCAAGGCATTATAGTGTATTTTTATGTATGAGAGAGTAATAAAACATTAAATTATGTATGCAAATCTCTAAACTGTTGATACGGGTGACTCAATGAAAAACAGATATTTGTTAACAAGTTTACAGAAGTATATAGGAAAACAATTTTAAATTGAGTATGCCCACCAGGTATAAAGGTTGGAGCAGAATAGAATACAATAGTTGTGAGGGTTACTAATCCCTTAATAAGGTTGCCAGTGTCGGAGTGATGGAGGTTAACAGGTACTAATGTTTATTTTATTGGTTATATATAACCAATAAAAGTTTAATAAGTACCTACCTATTTGCAAAATAAAGTTTAATTCTTTAGATAAAATAAAACGTTTTATTTTATCTGAAATGAGTGCATTCCACGTAGTAAGGGTTTCAACAATCAAACATTTAATTCTTTAATTCCAGGAATCTACGACAGTAATTGACTAGATAATTACCTTCTAAACTTATTCCACAGAAAATGTGATAGTGGGTTTTTCCATTTTGTAGGAAGGTCCAAGTGGCGTATTCAAAATTCTTAACAGTTCACTAAAAGTAGGTACTTCAGTTGCAAGGTGCAGTTTATTGTGTATACTAGTGTTATGAAAAATTTGGAAGTGCCGTGTAAACGCCGAAAAATTGGTCCTTTAACAGTTAATGAAAAAACATTAATATATAATTGTTTTAAATCATTTACAGACAAACGTTTATGTGAAAGTGTTGATGAGACCGTTGAGTTAGTTAGCAGTACACTTGGTGTTGGGAAATCTACGATTTACAGAGTTATTAAAGAAGAGAAATGTGGTAGTTTTGAAATGCCACGTAATGCTCCAGGGAAACCAAAATTTCAGATAGAATATCATTTTAAAGAAGGACTTCGACGGAAAGTGCATGAATTTTTCTTTAGACAAGAATTTCCAACATTGGATAAAGTTCTTGTCTCAGTTCGAGATGATAAGGATTACCCAGAAATGAGTCGAAGTACGTTATGGAAACTTTTAAAAGAAATAGGCTTCCGCTGAAAAAAGAATCCCAGAAAATATATTTTATTAGAAAGAAGCGATATTGTCATATGGAGAAGACATTTTCTAAGAACCATAAAGGAAATGAGAAACCAAAAAAGAAAAATATTTTATCTTGATGAAACATGGATCAACGAGGGTCATACACCAAATAAATTTTGGCAGGATGAAACTGTTACAAGTCAAAGGCACGCTTTTGTAAATAACTTATCTACTGGTTTAAACCCACCATCAGGAAAGGGACGCAGGCTGATAATAGTACACATTGGCAGTTCAGACGGTTTTGTTGAAGGTGGTTTATTAACTTTTGAATCAACTCGTACCGGTGACTACCATGAAGACATGAACGCTGATGTCTTTCAAGAATGGTACGAACAAATGATAGATCTTCTTCCTAAGAACTGTGTAATAGTAATGGATAATGCAAGTTATCACTCCAGACTTATAGAAGGACTGCCCACAACCAAGTGGTTAAAAAAATACTTGCAGAATTGGCTGAGTTCAAAAAATATTACGTACCATCCCGGATCTATAAGAAAGGAACTTTATTCGTTGTGTGCCCTTCATAAAGAAAAATTTAAAAAATACGAAATTGATGAAATTGCCAAAAATCGTGGAATGACAGTACTTAGATACCCACCATATCATTGTGAATTAAACCCGATTAAACTGGTATGGGCACATTCATGATGTTAAACAGTTGTTTTTGGAGGCCGTAAATAATGTAAAACCTGAAAACTGGGAAAAGGCAGTAAATCACACTATTAAAGAAGAGGAAAAAATGTGTAAGCTGGACAATATTACTGATAAAATGATCGAGCCAGTTATTATAAATCTTGGTTCTGAAAGTTCATCTTCTGAATCTGATTTGGATTTGTAACAAGTAGCTGTAAGTTTTATATTAATATTTTTTTTCATCTATTTAACATACCTTAGACGGTTTTAAAATCTCTTTTTCTCTTTTGTAATTTTTAAAAATTAAAAAAAATGTGAATTTTTTAAAACCCTTTTTAATGTATGCCAGTCAGTTCTAATATAGTGTGTGATAAAAGAGGTCACTTTTGGTTACATACACATAACACTTTATAACACTGAAATAATTAATTTATTTTTTACAATTATTCAAAGTAATTTTTCAATTAATCTTGAGCACGCCCATGGAGTGGTCGGACGTACCAGTTAAAATTATGCTAATTACTCTCTCGTTCATAAAAATAAACTATAGTGAAAGTCTTTTGGCAAATGGGTAGCTTGCCATCTGGACCTTTTATGAAACACTTGCATGTAGTCGTCTTATTACGATTATGGTAAATAACGTCCTAATGGTAAATAACGGGTTGTTAAATTATATGACCATTTATTTAAAACACAACAGTACACTTTTACTTAACATTACTTGGTCTAATCGTAGTTCATACTTATGTGAAGTTGATATGAGCCTCCCTCATAATTATTAATACGCGATACATTAACTTGCCATCTTGACGTTAAATTAGTTCTGTCCTTTGAGATAATGATTGTTGTCGCTTTTATAGTAGGCCTTGCATATATCAGCGGTTTATTTCTTAGTGTGTCAAGTTTGTTTAACGACCTACGACAATCGTATGTCTTGATTGGCAATAGTGCTGACTTACAAATTCTAATTCGAGTATGTTTATGAATGTCCTCGATTCAAATTATTAAACATATTTTATATAAACAAAATGCGAAACTATGTTACACGTTTTTCGTTTTAACTTATTCTTTATTTGAATTATAATATTTTAGGAATAATACCACACGATTGACTATAGTGTTGGGCGACGTCTGTGGACAGGGTTTTAATTCTAGGAATTGCCTCTTTATAAAAAGCTTTATAAACTGCTGTCACATTCGCAATATTGAGTTTTGTGCACTAGTAGGCTCTCTCGCCGTGCTTTCATGTTGGTCCTTTTAGTGCCTTCGTTTCCCTATACCGACAAATAAATTAAATTCACATTATATTTTAGATATCTAGTAATTATATGTAAATCATTTTTTGAATATAAAAAACAATGAAAATTATACATTCTCCCTGCATTTTAACACTGTTTAACTGCCAAGCATGTTACACCCACGACAGATGATTTTTTCTTCTATATAGATCAAAAATATACTAAGATCAACCGTTTTTTCCCATTTCTCTGGCTGTGCGACTCTTTTTCTACACTTTGTAAGCATTAATACTTCTGGTATTGTATCCATTTATTACTAAATTGATTATTACTAAATTACATATTTGACACTAGTATGACCGCCATCTTAAAAATCACCGACCACGTGATACAATCTAGGGCTCTGATTGGTGCAGAGGGATATTGGTGCAGAAGAGATTGTCCAAAAAGTGGAGATTGGTTGATTTGCAAGTAGAGGGCTCAGATCGCACAGTTGAATTTGGGTGTTAATGTCACATTCGTGTTTTTTCCGGATTCCCAAGTTTTTTATTGATCTTTTAAATATGTAGGCAGTAATCTGAAAATATAGTTACTTATATTTAGCACCCGATTTGTTTTTTGTCATAAATAAAATCTATTTTATATCAATTCTAAAATAATTTCTCGATAATCTTTTTAAAAATAATTTTTAGATTTTCTAAAGGCTTTCACGGACCAAAATAATTTCTCAGCAGGGTTCAACTTGAAAATAATGATATAAATAGAATACATTTTTTGAAATGTTTTCGTGATATTTTCTTTTTATATTTATAGGACTTCATAAATCGATTAGCGCAACCCAAACGACAGTTTAAGTCAGACCAACATTTAAATAAAGATGAATATGTGCCGATGGCAGAAGCGCTAAAAAAATTCCAAAATGCTACTCCTAAACGTTTTCGCACCAAAGTAAGTGTTTCACACGAACCTTTAAAATGTACTATACCACAATCGCCCAAACTACAAACAACAGTAAGAAGTCGCCCAGTCCATGTACTCTCCTATGAAGAACAAGAAAGAATGGCAGCGGATGAGGCAAAAAAGTAAGCATTATCAACGTAATATTTATTTCAAAAATATTTTTTATGTTGACAATATATGGTCGCTAGTTTTTGACCTATGAGTATATTCAATACACAAAGTTGAAGAATGTTTTATATATTTTTAACAAAAATATATAAAACATTCTTCTTTTTAATAATTTTAAGACATGTTCTAATTTTGTAGGACACAATTTAAAGCGCATCCTGTAAACAAAAAAGCTCTCCAGCCACCTACACCTCCAGTTTCGAAAGGAAAACGATCTACAATACCAGAACCCTTTAAATTAACAAGTGTTGGACCCAAAAAGGTAAGGTTTAGTTTTTTAAAATAGCAAAATCCGGTGCCCGCTATCGAGGAGTATACTGTTCCTAGTTGTCATTTTTCCTCCCGCTTTTATGCAGTATTGTTTGTAGATGAAGGATGGGTTCAGAACCACTCCCAAGATATATAGGTTGGTATGTGAGTTATAATATACTCCCTTTTCAAGATCATCAGCCTAAAGCCTAAAGAAAGTGCTCGGCATGAGCCGGGGTGTTGATCGTTTATGTATATATATATATATATATATATATATATATATATATATATATATATATATATAATATATATATATATATCGAAATGTGAGAGGCGGCAAATGCTGTAGGAACCTCGCTTTATAATACCTCGGCTATATATAAGCGAGGTTCCTACAGCCCCTGCCGCCTCCCGCATTTCAACCGCCATCGTTTTCTGTCCATCCATTCGTCTTCTTTGATGGCTGTATCTCTCATTATGTGTCGTACATTTTCTTCCCAGGCAACTGATGGCCTTCCATTTCTTCTTTGTTGTGGTATGTAATTTAAAGCTTTCTTTGGCCATCTATCTTCATTCATTCGCTTTACATGACCATACCACACTAGTTGTCTCGTTTCAATTCTGTCTACACTGGAATATACAGTATTTGTCCTCCTTCGAATATCTTCATTCCTGATATGATCTTTTTTGGATACACCACACGTTCTCTTTAGAAAATCCATTTCTACTACTTCTATTCTTTCTTTATCTTTTTTCATGATCTGCCAAACTTCTGCCCCATAAGTCATAATAGGCTCTACCAAGGTTCGATTGATTGTCAATTTCGTTTCTTATTTAATATCTTTAGACCATAGTAGAGAGTTTATAATGTTAACCGCTTTTTTTCCCTGCTGCGCTCTGGTTTCGATGTCTCTTGTGGTAGTGCCTTCTTTAGATATTATAGATCCGAGATATTTATATTCCTTGCATGTTTTTGTGTTTCTAATTTCTAACTCTGGATCTTCTTCATTATCTCCTATTTTAAGATACTGTCTTTGACATATTCCTATCGAGGCCCCATTTTTCATATTCTTTCTTTAGTTTTCTAAACATGTAGTCCATGTCTTCCTCATCATTCGCTACGACTAGCACTACAGCCTAAAAACGGCCCGTGCCGAGATAAATGAAGACTTTTTATAGCGCATTATTAGTATATGTGGGATAATGAAATTTTATATCTGCTTATTACTGAATTGTTAATATTTTTTTATATTTTTTTATAACACAAATTTAAGATCTTTAAAATTTAAAAAATCTTTATTTTTTTACATTTAGTTTAATGATTTTAATAGTTTTCAAACTTTGTCAAATATTCAATTTATACATCATTTACATTTTGATTATTATTATATTTCATTATAATGGATTGGAAAGAAATTCAATATGGTTATCAGTTCGTCGAATGTGATTGCTATGTGGGGTAGAAGCTTGGACTCTAAAAGACCAATCCGTAAAAAAATTTCAGGCATTCGAAATATGGCTATATAGGCGTATTCTTAAAATTCCTTGCGCTTAAAGAAGTAATTGCCAACTTTCCTTAGAAGACGGCGCAATAATAAGAAGATAATGGATTAAATGGGATTAAAAACGGAATGTGGCACTCTAGGAGTGGCAGAGGAGGAGAATAATAGCTTTCTCATTGTCTCCGCACGGAGTGATGGTTTTTAATTTGAATTGAATTGACCGATTGATTTGTGTACTTAGAAGTTGAGGCTAACAAGTAAAAACGGAATTAGCCAGATCTGTTCACAGACGTAAAAGACGAAGTATGTTCTGGGAAGGTATTATGATCCGGTGAAATAACTCCTTTAATTTCCATCCAGTCAAATTTAACAGCTCGGAGGTATGTTGATTTGGTTCTAAAACCTGTAGTTAGGCTCTGGAGAGATGCAACGAGAGAAAATATAATTTTCATGCATGATCATGCACCTCCACATACCAGCAGATTCACTACAGACTTCCTTAAAGTAGAAGATATCACTATTCTCGAGTGACCTGCTTGCTCACTCGACCTTAATCTTATAGAGCATTTGTGCGATATGCTTAAAAAAGAATTAGACCTCGCCGGGATAATCCATAAAACACCGTACAACTAGTACAAGCTGCCATTGTAGAATGGAATAACCTACCACAACAAAATGTTGATAATTTATTTGTTGTTTAGGAGCATGCCCATGCGAATTGAAGCTTGCATAAGGGCTAGGGGTAGTAACGTTGACTACTAAAAAACACAAATAAATAAAAACAATTTAAACATTATTCGTTTTAAATTGAAAATGTTTATGCTACTTACTTTAAAATTGATAGTTTCAATTTGTTATTTCAAGAATTTATTGGTTTCTTTACTTTTTATATATTAGTGAATAAATTGCTTTAAAATAAATATTCTTTGACATCGTATTCTGATTTTTTTTTTCAAATTCGCTTAAAATAATAAGAAATATCAAAGGATTCCATATAAGTTGTTGGGTATATTAGATAAACGACTATTACTACTATTACTGTATACCGCATGGTTACTGCACGCGTCTTGATATTTCGAGTCACGCTAAATATTACTTCGGGCCCGTGTAAAAACATACGAACAGGACATAATACCGCGATAAGAAGTACTTACTTCCAAAAACGTCTGTTTTTACTAAGGGAAACGTAATCACTAAGGGAAATATACAGTTTGCAAAGCAATATATAGCGATTTAACGTTTTATACGCTGCAGCGAAAAGTGAAGCATGTGAAACGACTTTAAAAGTAATAAAAAGTCATATAAAAACCTTCAAAACAATTTGAAAAGTTTCTGTTTCTTCCAGTAGTTCAGTACTAGCAAGAAGAATTGCAAATAATATATTTCCTAGAGCGTGCCCTTATGAGCGTCTGGCCCTTTCTCAGCACTAGACGGGTTAAGAATATCACAAATCAACTGCTTCTCGGCACTGTTCGGAAATAGATGCGCGGTGTTGATCCTTCCTAGCTGACGATCACATATACCTATGTACAGTAGTGACTGATACGTAATAGCTGTAGAGTTGCAGAACCCTAAGAATAATTTCAAAAAAAAACGTCAACAAAAAATTTAGAAAAAGAAAAAAAAACTCCAATTAACAAGATGGTACTTTTAAAGCGAACCCACATCACATAGCTTGTACTACTGTACGTTGTCTAAATCTGGCTAATGGTGAGTCAAGCGAATAATTTTTAAATACCTCCCAATACGCAACCACTTGCGTCTCACCAAATCATAAGTGTATCGCATCGAATATCAGGTTTTTAATGGTTCAACTACTTTCAATTGAATGCTATTTTTTATAATTTAATATATGTTAAGTTCTTCAAATTTTGATTTGAGGAAAATTCAATGGAAAAGAGGTAATTTATTGCCGAAAATGATAATGGAAAAAGAAGGTTCTAGTCAAGGTCACTATTATAAAAAACAATTCAATTAGACAGTTAGATTGAGCTTGTTAAATAATATTAATAAATTCAACGAACATTTTACATAAAATAGTTATGTAATTTTTGAACTAAAATGTAGTTATCTAATAAAGAATATGATGGGACGGAGACATATGATAATCTTGAAGTCTTAAGAGGCCTAGTAAACTTTACTGCAGAATTAGACAACAGATAGGTTTACAGCAACATTAAGAAAAATCTTGGATATTGAAAGTTTGTCTCGATTAATTTTAGCAGAAATTCAAGAGTGTCAGAATATAGCTACTTTATCTACGAAACAACAGAAATTTGTTTATAGTTTATAGTTAAAATATATAAGTTTATAGTTAAAAGTCTTATATTTAAAATGTCTGGTTATGTTTGTGCGTTTGGCGGATGTTAATCTCTGACAGGAAAAGGATTAAATTTATTTAGATTTCCTAAGAATAATAACAGGTAATTACTATTGCTTTGTAATTATTATTAGTTATTACATAATAGTATTAGTATGACTTTCGAACAATAAGCCGACGTGTCCGTCCGAGCTCTCGTTAAGTGGAACAATAAAAAAATAAACTTTGGTCTGCCAATGGATAGTTCAAAATGAAAACTAAAAATTGTTGAAAACATAATTATACCGATAATTGGGAAAATTTTGAAACAAGACTTCAAAATTGTAAAAACATGGTTGCAAATAAACAAACTTACATTAAATTATGAAAAACACCAAATACTCATCTACTTTTTGCTATATACAAAAGTTGTCTTGTCAATTTTTAGTTCGTTAAATATAAATATCAAAGATCAAATATATGGATCGGAGTACACAAAATATTTAGGAGTTTTAAATGGGAATTACAAATAAAAAATATTAAAACTTTATTTGTTGTATATCTCAATTTTGAGTGACAATTTTGTGACTTGTAAAACTGTAAATTTATTAAGATGAGATATTGACACACATGCTCATAGCCAATATTAAGAGTAAACAAACATAAATCTTACTCCAATCAATAATTATTTAAAGGTAAATGCTCCAAATATACATTTCTACTGCAAGCTTTAAAGTTTCATATCCATTGGATTATAAAAATGCTCTCTTGTAATCATTCGTAATACTTTTTTGATTATTTTTTAGGTTATTACATTTTTATATTTATAGAAATATTCTCGTACAATACTTCTTGGTTTTTTATTCGTTTTAGTCGAATATCGTTTACTCCGATATTCGACTTTAATGGAAAAATGTAATTTTGATAGGTTTCCAAGACGTTAACAATCGATTTGAACATAAAGTTTCTTATTCAAAGAGAATTGGAATTTTCAGAGTTTGTGAAATTTCCGTGGCAGTTACAATGGCTTTATTATTTTTCGATTATATTACGAAAGATAATTTATTAGAAATTCCACGACGAACAAATTATATCTTGTATCAACACAAGCCAAAAAGAATCGGTGTATTATTGGTCTATCAATGGCCAACATCAGGATAAACAAAAAAGTATTTTCATCTATGGTTCCATCAATACGATTTTCACCATTACTTTGCGTTGCGCGATGTATTTGCAACCTTTTGTAAATTAAAAATAATTACACCATTAAGAATGTCAACAAAAGCCGGCCATGCATGTAACTATTTTTTCAGTGCAATATTTCATATTTATTGAAAGTCAACATAAATGCTCAATTTTATTTAAGAATTTATATTGTGTGATATGCCCACTGACTATTAGTTTTCTAGTTGTTTAACTGTCATTGGCGGCTTGGCCACGAAACTTCAAAGGAGTGTCGCTTCTCTGTGGTCGTAGTTCTCTGCCAATAATAGAAATCAGATAAAAAAATTAATTTAAGATATGTTCTTTTCCAGCAGCAGCTCTTATTATAATGACACATGATTTCAAAAAATTAATCTCTTTATTTTTAAATTGACAAATATTTAATTCTAGATAAAATTAGATCACTTTTTTCAGATCGGCGAATCTCCAAAGAAGGTGCAAACTACGTTCCATGCAAGACCTGTACCAAAATCTATATACGAAAATAATGTACCCAAAATCAATCATTCTTTGAGGACACATGTAACTAAACCTCATACACCATCATTTATGAAAAAATATAACTCCAATCCTATTAAAGCGATTCCGAACAAAAATGAAAGTATCTTACAACAACAACCTAACGCTAAATTAAAGGCAACCAAACCCTTACCATTTAGTTTTGAGTTACGGGACCAATGTACAAAAAGTCGAAGGGATGAGTTAATACGAAAATGCATCGAAGCAGAACAGAAAGCCAGGGAGTTTCATGCCAAGCCAGTACCTAAATCAGTATTGGTACCGTCAAAAAGGGTTAATACCAGTTGTAGTTCTCGAAACAGTTTATTGGGTACTGTGAAAACGGTAAGTATACTTAATGCATTGTTCACCAGAAATTTACATAAACAAAATAACTACAGGGGCAACAATATTAACTTTTACAAATGGTTATAAACCGAAATATTGAACACATTTTTGAGAAAAAAATTCTCTTAAAAGTCGAAAATAATATCGTAAGTAAATATGCTTTACAATAGTAATTTGGATTCGGCATTGCATTGTCAGTCACTACAGAAATCCTAACAGCAGAATAAATAGCTACAATAGTTTACGGGCAAGTAAATATGGTTTACAATAGTACTTTGCATTGTCAGTCACTACAGAATCTTAACAGCAGAATAAGTAGCTATAATAGTTAACGGGCAACTGAATGTATTTTTCTAAATTTCAGAATCTGAAGTAAAAACATTCAGTTGCACAATTTCCTTGTACTTGGTGTTTGATATCTTTGGTTTCTGATAATGAAAATTCAGATAGATCGAGATTTACAAATACAAATATAGTAAGCCAGGGAAATAAGCAAAAAAAGAACCCTGTTTTTGACACCCGTCCGGCCAGGCAAATGACAGTTGTTGTTAGTATTATGGACCTCTGTAACAAAAACCTATATGTTTCCTGCAGTCGATTTTTTGGACTTAATTAGTTATTAACATATTAAGGCCAAAAGACGGAAAATTTTCGCTTTTTTCGTCTATCAACAAAAAGAAGCATTTGAAACAAATTATAGAACAGAAGAAACTTATAAGTCATATAAAAACCTTCAAAATGGTTGTTTCTAATTGTTTCTGTAATTATTTTGGAAGTTCATTTATTGCTTAGGAAGTTGCAAAATAAGTAAAAAAAATCAGTTTTTCTATAAATGTTAATAACTTTTTTGAAAATAAACTTATAACATGTATATTTTATAGAATGCTGTGACTTGTAGTGCTTAAAATTTGGCCAAAATTTCAAAGTGATCGGTCAAATAGTTGAAAAGTTAGTTTATTTGTTTATCCTAAATTATTTTTTTCTGCAACAATATAAGTCAGAAAATTATATGGTTTTAGTAATTGTAAGGGTAGTTTCTGGAAGAAGAAGACTTGTTCTATTATTTATATTAAAAAAATTAGGAAAATTCATTTTAAATATTGCAAAATAATTTTGCAAAATCATGTGGATTTTTTCCTTAATAAACAATTAGAATAACTTTTTAAAGAAAAACATTTGTCTTAAAACAATATGGGACAAAGTTAGCATCATTTTTTATTTAATTCATAGCAGCTTTGTTTATAACATTTAGGAAATCTAATTAGCGCTATTTGTTCTAAAGCTATTTTCTTGTGGCATCTTAATGCCATTTCCTATTTTTTGGGAAATAAACCACAATTTATATAATAAGTTTATTTTTGGCGTTTTGATTTCTACTACGAAAATCTATCTCACAATACAGAACATTTATAAATTATTCTTGGTTAATTGGTTACTTGGTAGAAAATTTTTCTAATAACTTAATTTCATCTGACTCATTCATATATGTAGACAATTCAGATATATATTATATATCTTCTTATAGTGCCGTGCACCTATAGTGCGTTGGCGAATTATCTTAAGGCCAGACGTCTGTCTTTTACGGCATGCAAAAATCGCCAGTGTTATTTATGCCTGTCCAGTTCTTTATGTTTCGGAGCCACGACATTTGTTTGCGACCTACTCCTCTCTTGCCTTCAATCTTTCCCTGGATGATTAGTTGAGGGATTGCGTATTTTTTTCCTCTCAGAATATGGCCGAGGTATCCAAATTTTTTGCACCTTGATCAAATTGAGCAGTTCTCTCTCAGTAGTTGCCTTTCTTAAGACTTCCTAGTTTCTCACACTATCTGTCCATGGTATGCGGAACATTCTTCGCAACATCCACATTTGGAAGGCCTCCAACTTATTAATGGAAGGTACTTTTAACGTCCATGTTTCGATGCCGTATGACAATATGGACCATACATATCATTTAACCATCCTGTAGCGGACATTAAAGGAAAGATTGCGGTTACATAGTAGCGGTTTAAATTTGATAAAAGCTTGTCTTCCTTGTTGGGTACGCCATTATATTTCTTGTTATTTCTTGTTGAGGATCCCATTGGTCATTTATCATCATCCCAAGTATTTAAACGTTTTCACTTGATTGATTGGAGTATTATCCACTTGCAGTTGTATTCTTAAAAATGTGTTTTCTTATTGCCATGCATTTAGTTTTTCCAGCATTTATCTTCAAGCCATATATTTTTCCTATGGTGTTTATTTTATTTAATATCAACTGCATATAACTTAAACATCAACATCAACTGCATATCATGTTCGTTGTCTGTTATTATCGCGGTGTCGTCGCAGTAACGAATGTTATTTATCGGAAACCCGTTTACCTTTATTTCACACTCAGAGCCTTCCCGTGTCTCTGCAAAAATTGTCGCACCCCTCTTAAAATTTCAAATTCTTCTGTGTTGGTTGATTTGTTCAGTCTCACTCGTGCTTTTTGATTCCAATAGAGATTCTGGATAACTCTTATATCTTTCTCGTCAATGTTAGCATTGTGTAGCATTTTTATCATTGCGTCATGTTTTACGGTGTCAAACGCTTTTTCATAATCGAGGAATGTTATGACTATATCCTTTCGTTGATCCATGCAGTTTTGTATAAGCGTATTCAAGCAGAAAGCTGTTTACGTGTACCCAGTTCGCTTTTGAAACCAAATTGTGTCTCACCGTTTAGATCTTCCAGCTTTCTGAACATTCTTGTGTGAAGGACACGAAGAAACACCTTAAGCAAATGGCTCATTAAACTTATCAGCCTGTGGTCTTTGCATTTTGTTGCTCTTTGTGATTTAGGGATCATTATAAAGGTAGAATAAAGCCAATCTGTTGGAATGTAGACGGTGTTATATATGGCATTGAGAATTGTTACCAGCATGTCGATGTTGTCATCTTCCAACAGTTTTATGGCTTCCGTAGTAATTCCATCCGGTCCAGGGGCCTTTTCTAGTTTTACTACTTTTATAGCGTACTCCACCTCGGCGCGAATAATGGGAGGGCCGGATAAATTTTCCTTGCGTAAGTTAGTAGTTGGCAGATTCGGTCTATTGTACGCAAAGAGGGACAAAGCATAGTCTGCCCAGTTTAGCTAGTTCTTCATGGGTATGAACATAGTTTCCTTGATCATTCTTCACGCGAGTCTCACGTTGTTTCTTGTATATACTCGAAATTTCTTTGACCTTTTTATGTAGTCCAAAGCTGTCTCTCTTTTTTTGTAGTGATTCCAATTCTTCACAACGTTCTTTCATCCAGCTCTCCTTTGCGTTTTTAATTCTTACCCTTATCGTCCGTTGGATTTCCTTGTATTTCTGTTGATTCTGATGTATTTTGTACTGTCTGCGTTGCTCCATTAGATCAAGAATCTCTTCCGTCATCTACTCGTTTTTGTGACTTCGTTTTATTTTACTTACGACTACTTCGTCAGCCTCGACTATAGCTATTTTTATTTTCTCACAGGTTTCCTCTATGCAATTTCCTTGTATGTTTCTCAAATTCTCGTCGATGTGCTTACTGTATCTAGATCTAAGCTCTTCATCTCTTATTAATTCTCTAGTGTTTATGTATTTTTGATTAGATGGCTTTTTAACCTTTGCCAATCGAAGCCTTACATTCGCGATTAGGGGGTTGTGGTCAGACGAAATGTCCGCACCAGGATAAGCTGCCACTCTTTTTATATAGTTGCGAAATTATTTGTTTATCAAGATGTAATCAATTTGATTTCGTATCTATGACCTGGACGATCTCATGATGCTCGCCATGTTTACAATCTTCTTGGTGTGAGTTGATACCACGTATTGGATATGACGAAATCGTGGTCGTTACAAAATTCAATTAGTAACTTTCCTCGCTCATTTTTGTTACCCAGACCGAAATCACCGACCGCATTACCACATCTACCCCTACCGACTTTGGCACTAAAATCGCCCATTATAATGTTGATATTGTTTTTTCTTTGTGACCTTTAATGCTTCCTTTATGTCTTTACCGGCAGTTTTTAGAAGAATTCAAAGCCATGTTTAATCAAATATTGCAACAAAACAGCATGGTAATAAACATGCTAAGTAAACTTGTATGCAAATAAAATTCTTTCTACGAATCGCTGAATGGAACGCCAATGGCCTGCTGAATCATAAGGACGAGGTAATAATATTTCTACAACAAAATTTTATAGATATATTATTAATAAGTGAGACACATTTTACAGACAAATCGTATTTTAAAATTCCTCATTATCTAACGTACCATATTAACCACGCAGACAAGACAGCCCATGGAGGTACAGCAATCTTGATCAAACAATCAATTAAACATTTCATGCTGGAAAGTTATAAAACAGACTGTACCCAAGCTACAGTAATTAAAGTGTGCTCATTACCTTACGAAATAACAATAGCAGCAGTATATTGCCCTCCAAAGTACAATATTAAAAAAACCGATTTCGGATCCTTCTTCAATACTCTAGGTCCAAAATTTATCACAGCTGGTGACTTTAATAGTAAACACACTTACTGGGGATCAAGATTAATAACAACAAAGGGGAGAGAGCTCTATAGTTTAATACAAGAAAATAAATACTCATATTTATCAACAGGAACACCAACATACTGGCGAACGGACCCCAAAAAAGACCAGACCTGTTAGATTTTTGCATCATATAAGGAATATCTAACACCTTTATGCACATAGTTCCAAGTTATGATCTATGTTCAGATCATTCACCAATTATTACCTGCGTTATTAACAAACAACCTACTACAAAACTGCATGGACCTAGAACAGATTGGAACCTTTACTAAAAATACTGGATGAAAACATTATACTAAATGCAAGACTAAGAAGCCCTTCAGAAATAGAAGCAGCTACAAACAACCTTATGACATTATAGCAAAACGCTGCAAAAGAAGCGACACCGAACGATGGAGATAAAAATAAAATCGAGAATAGAATAAATATTCCACTTGAAATTAAAAAGCTCATTGCTGAAAAAAGAAGAGTAAGAGCCAAATGGCAACAAAGTCGAAACCCAGCGGATAAAACGTTTTACAATCGCTTAACA